AAATCTCAGGGGTAAAAAGGAAACACATGCAGAGAGCGCCCGGGAGAGCATGGCAGGCAGCGGCAAGAGGAGCCACGGAGGCCCTGGGGTCGGAGAGAATTCACTGATGGATGTGGTGAGCTGGGGGAGGGTGGTGCAGGATGAAGCCAGAGACCAGACTGTGCAAGACCGTGGGCTGGCGCTTCTGCATCTCGCACACCAGTGGGCTGGCGTGAGCCTAACGGTCCATCCTGCTGGCCACATGGCGGTGGGATACGGGGCCGTTTTCTCGAACCTCCAGCTTTAATCTTGCCCAACTCTTTTACCACCGTGGCCGCAGGGTTCCTTCCTGCCTCCCAGTCTCTGTCTCTCCATCAGTCTGCAATGAGGGCGCTGGAGAAAGTGATCCCAAAGTTGCCCTAAAGGACCAAATCGCATCATTTGGTTGCAGGGTGGGGCAACCACGGATATGAGCTTTCCCGGGACAGTTTCAGTGTATGCCGCTTGTCCCGGCTTCGTGATTCATAACACCCTCTTCCACTCTCGGAAGTGTCCCAATTTGGACAGTAACTGATAAGGTCACCCTATTTATGAGAAAAGGGAGGTGCACATGGCATGGCTACCCGCAATGGGTTAGGCTCTTTGCCTTGGTTCTTATTAGGAATTTTCTTTCTCTGAGCAAGGATGGCTTTGCACTTTCCAAAATGCCCAGGTAAGCATTGACAAGCACCAAAGACACAGGGCACAGATTGCTCATTGTGCTCTGAGACATGAGACATCAGCAAATACTGGGGGAGGCTGGTGACTGCGTAAGGACCGGGGCACTGTCTGAGCCTCCAATGGTGTTTGGCTGGTGAGGAGGGATGACGACCAGTGACACTGGGAAATGGCAGTGGGTCCGTAGGAATCGACTGTATTTTCCGTCTTCGTTCTGAACATCAGCTCACTGAGGTGTGGGGCAGGGGCTACTTCGGGAACAGGAAGAAGGTAGGATCCTGAAACAGAATGCATAGTACTGCTAAATTCTGATTATGTGGATCCCCAAAAGAGAAGGCTATGGATGACAGACAGCTATGGAGCCCCTCCCCTAGCAGTTTACATGTGTCTCCAAAGAAATGAGCTGTAGTCTGGTCAGTGTGGCTCAGTGGTTGAGCATGGACCTGTGCACCAAGAGGTCGCCGGTTTGATCCCCAGTCAGGGCACATGCCCAGGTTGCAGGTGATCCCCAGTGAGGGGCATGCAGGAGGCGGCTGATCAATGTTCTCTCTCATCGATGTTTCTCTCTCTCTCTCTCTCCCTCTAAGATCAATAAAGAAAAATATTTTTTAAAAAAGAAAGAAAGAAATGAGTATATGTACCTCCAGATAGGTGCATGGGCTTGCAATAGGACGTTAGGCAAAGGGGAGAGGACAGGGATTCTGTGACCCGTGTGCACCTGAGCTCACCTGGGAAGAGTAGCGATGGAAGCTGGGGGGAAGAAAGGTAGACCAGAAACCTTTTGGATTTAAATCAAGTAGATTCTAGAGGCTAATTGATTTCAGACTTTCTGTCTGGGATCTGGTCCTTTTGTATGTGGGCGAACATAAGGAGACACAGCTGAGAAAAGCCCCTTTTTTGTGTTAAGAAAAAAATCACACAAAAAAACCCAAAATTCTTTCCAATCCTAGGAAGCACCCTAGGAGTTTCTGAAGTGGGTTTCTTGAAACCTCATGGCTGTACCACAGTTGGGGGAGGGGAGGCAGAGGGACCAGAAGGGGCGCAAGGAATGGGTCTTTGCTTTTTCATTGTTGGATATTTTCTTCGGCTTCGTCTTGATTGTGACATTCTGGTGTGTGGGAATAATCTCACCGAAGAGGAAAATGAGTAGCACTTGGTCAGTGTGTTTACCGCACATGTTCACACACAGTCATTTGCAGAATGCTGACTCCAGGTCAGCTGGCAAGGGTGCCAAGATGAATACCGTGGACACTGACCACCCTTCTTCTCGCATGTGGGAGCTCACAGTGAAGTGAGAGACATGTCAACAGATACATTACTCTGCCTCTGATGCAGGCTGGAACAGAAGTCACTGCACACACGCACGCGCGTGCGCGCACACACGCACACACAGCTCTCCAAATGGAGCTGCTCTTAATTGTTTTCTCAGGTTTGTTCCCCGGACATTCCCCCTTTTCTGTATTTGCATATATGCTGCCTTTTTATTGAGGTGAAAGTCACATAACAAAATTAAACATTTTATTTCTTTTTCATATATATATATATTTTTTTTAATCCTCACCCGAGGACATTTTTTCATTTTTTGTTCGGATAGAGTGGGAGAGAGAGAGATGGAAAGGAGAGAGAGAAACATCGATGTGAAAGGGACACATCGAGTGGTTGCCACCCACATAACCCAACTGGGGCCAGGGACAAACTGCAACTGAGGTACATGCCCTTAGCGGGAACCGAACCCGGGTCTCCCTGAACCGCAGGCCGATGCTCTAACCACTGAGCCAAACTGGCCAGGGCTCTTTTTCTTTATTATATTTTAAAGAGAGAAGAAGTGAGAGGGACAGAGAGATAGAAACATTGATGAGAGAGAACATCAACTGGCTGCCTCCTGCATGCCCCCCACTGGGGATTGACCCCACAACTTGGGCCTGTACCCTGACCCGGAATCGAACCGGTGCATGGGTTGATGCTCAACCAGTGAGCCACACCAGCCAGGTTAAAATGAACAGTTTCAAAGTGAACAATTCCACGGCATTTAGTACAATCACAATGTTGTGCAACCACAACCTATGTCTACTTTCAAAATATTTTCATCGCCCCTAAATAAAGCCAGGTGCTCATAAGTAGTTACTCCCTCTTCTCTCCTTCCCGCAGCCCCTGGCAAACATGAATCTGCTTTCCGTATCTATGGATTTAACTTTCCTGGCTATTTCATATAAATGGAATCATATGTGACCTTCTGTGTCTGGCTTCTATCACTTAGCATCACATTTGTGAGGTTTATCCACATTGTAACATGCCAGTCCTTTATACGTTCCTTTTCATGGTTGATTACTATTCCATTATGTGGATATACCACAATTTGTTTATTCTTTTTTTTTTTTTTGGTACGTGCCCCTAGCGGGAACCAAAACCAGGACTCCCTGGTCCACAGGCCAGCGCTCCAACCGCTGAACCAAACTAGCCAGGGCTATTCTTTCTTTTTTTCATGGACATTTGGGTTGTTTCCACCTTCTGGCTATTGTGAATTGTTCTTCTGTGAATGTTTGCACATTTTTGTGTGAATATGTTTTCAATTCTCTGGTGTAGATACCGAGGAGTAGGATTTCTGGGTCGGATAGTAATTCTACATTTAACTTTCTGAGGACCTACCAAACTGTTTTCCATAGTGGCTGCACCATGCCACCCCTCCCCCTTGTGAAGACCCACAAGCTCTATCATTTGGATGCCCCTCGGTGACTTATCTGAAGAATGTCAAAGAACTGACAGCTGATTGACAGATATGCGCCAAAAGCGCCCGTGTTGGCCCAGTGGGTCAGAGCCTGGGCTAATGCGGTGAAGGTCAGGGTCAATCCCCAGCTGACCAGTCAGCTGCTGGAGCGACAGAGTGAGAACTGTGCTGCTGCGTGCTCCACCGTCCAATACTGCCCTGTCCTCCGGCAACTACTTTTCAGTGGTCCCAGGGGTGAAGCAAGAGTGTACAGTTTATGGTTCCCTGTAAAAGGAAAACAACAAGCCAGCATCCAGTGCCTCCTGAGCGCAATGGGACTGACCCAGAAGCAGATGATCACCTACTTCCAGTGCTGGTTTTACCTGATTTCTGTGGGCACCTTGAGTAAATTGTTTAAACCTGCCCATAGCGTCATTTCCCTCATCTCCCAACTGGGACTGATGATCCTTACTCCAAAGAGATGACAACACCTACTGAGCACTCTGCACACAGTAGGCTTCCAATAAATGCTGCGGAGTCTGAAGGGCGGGCAGGCTCGGTCTAAGCAAGAGCACAGAAGGGCTTGTCTGTGGGCTCTGAGCTGCCCCGGGAGCTGATCAGCTGGAATGGTGGTGCACGGGTTACATTGGCTGCTTTAAATTGTCCTATTTGCATGGAATGAAGCTTGCTATGGTAACAAGGTCTGGTGGCTGGAATCCAGGGCCCCAGTGAAAAATGCAAAGCCTGTGCTCCGGGAGAAAGAGGCGCTAGATGGGTTTGTCAACTTTGAGGTTACCTCAGGTCTCCCGCGAAGAGAGTGGGTAAGCTGAGGCAGCTTGGCTCAACCTCCTGCTCCCAGGGGGAAAAGAAAGGGGTAGCCCCGCGGAAGCCTGTCAGCGTGCTCTCCCGGCCTCAGCCCTCTCGGCCCCCACCCCAGCTGAGAAGCTTGGGACCCGGCTAAGGCCACCCCCACCCCACCTCGGGCTCGCACACCGCGTTTCAGGTATGGGGGGAGGCCAGAGCGCGAGTGGCCCACTCTGGGGAAGGATGGAGCACTCCTTCGGGGAAGGAGGACAGCGCGGGGTGGGGCGGCGAACGCGGGGTGAGAAGGGGTGGAGAGTGGGGCGCGCGGGGCACCCGCCCAGGCCCCGCCGCAGTTCCTCCCCGCATTCTAAGGAATCCGCAAGGCCGGGACTCCACGCCCCAGCTCGCGCAGGCTGCCCCTCCCCCGCGCTCCATGCCCGCTCCCCTGCGGGACCCCTTCTCCAAGCACCGCTCTCTCCGGAGCACCCGCCTCCTCGCAGCCCCAGCGCGGGGCGCTCGTTCGCCCGGGCGGGGGCCGCCCCACCGTTCCAGGGAGGGGACCAAGGGCCGGCCTTGGACCAGGCCCTTCCCACCCCTGGCCGGGGGCGCCACCTCGGCCCACCGCGAGCTGCCTCCGGCCGCCTCCGCCCCCTGGGGGTGTGTCCCAGAAGTGGGGGGCGCGGGAGGCCGGGGGAGCGCCGGGGCCGCCGGCCCAGGCCCCCTCCCGAGCGCGCGGAGAATGGTAGGCTCCACTGAAAGTGCCGGGCGGCGCGCGGTGTCCTCCGAGCGCTCACGGCGCTGGGGTCTCGGCGATCGCTGCTCCTCCTCCTCCTCCTCTTTCTCCTCCTCCTCCTCCCCCCGCCGCCCTGCTACCGCCGCGGCTCCGGCTGGAGGCGCCGCTGTCATTCCTGCGCCGGAGGAGCCGGCGCTGCCGGTGCCCGGGGTCGGGGCGCGGGGGAGCCGGGCCCGGGGGACCCAACAGGTAGAGCCGGGGGTGCCCGGCCGCACGCCCCCCGCGTCATGCAGCTCTTTGTCACCTCTCTCGCCCCCAGGCCAAAATCCTGAGCATGATGGAAGACAATAAGCAGCTCGCGCTCCGCATCGATGGGGCGGTCCAGTCGGCCAGCCAGGAGGTGACCAACCTGCGAGCCGAACTCACGGCCACCAACCGGAGACTGGCGGAACTGAGCGGAGGCGGCGGCCCCGGCCCCGGCCCGGGCCCGGGAGCGGCGGCCAGCGCCTCGGCGGCCGCAGACTCGGCGGCGGCGAACATGGAGAACCACCAGCACGGCGCGCAAGGTAGGGACCCGGCGCCCGGGGCGGAGGACCAGCGGCGAGCCGGACCCGGGCCTGGAGGGGGCCGCAGGCTTGGTGTCCGCGACACCGGGAAATCTCCTGTAACCCTTTCCGTCCCGCAGTGGCCACCGCTGCCCCCCTGCCCGGAGTTGCAAGCGGCTGTCATTAAGGAAAACCCGGGTGCAGTGTGCACGGGTTCACACGGTCACACCGGCCCTGGGTGGCGCGAGCGAGGCGCAGCCCGCGGGCCCCTTCCGGCAGCAGAAAGTGCCCTTTAGATGTCACACAGCCCCCGGCTCCATGGGCAAACTTTTCATGCCCGGGCCTTTGCCCCCACCCCCGGCAAGAACGCAAGCCACAGCTCCCCCCAGTTCCGGAGCCGGCTTCCTTTGGAATGACTGCTTCCCTGAGAGCCAGCTCCAGGCTCTGCTGTCTGTCGTTCTGGGGGTAGAGGACTGGGCTGCTTTGCACTTTTCTCCACGGATGCCAAATCCCTTGTCTCCATTGCATCTGGACTTTATTTTCTCCCCATTTGAGATCTCACAGGCGGTGGGATATATCGATGCAACAGTAGATGCCCCGGCTCAGCAGGGAGTTTAAATTTCCAGCAAATATAAACACCAAGAGCACTTTCCAGGGGGGGAAATCTTAGATCTCAAAGGCTGAGTGATGGGCTTCTGTCGAAATGATGGCTTAGATCTTGGGCTGCAGAAAGCTGCCCCTGGAAGGAACTCTTTCTAGTTGAGGAGGGAAGAAAGGCAGCTGGTCTGTGCTGACATTGACAATGATGGAACTCTGAGACCCTCTGCAAGGGTTAAAGGGGAGGAAGCATCCCAAAAATGCGCTGTTTGTTTTCCCTGCATTGGAAAGTAAAAGGGTCAAAGCTGGCTTTCCAGGCTTTTGTCTCTTTCCCTTCTTCTTGCTTAATTGCCCTTTAAGAAACGGGTGTCACTGGTTATTAATATCATTTGCATTGTAAACCAAACTGCTGAAATCCAGAACCTGACAAGAAAAAAAAAAAAAAAACAAAAACGCCGCTCCAGGAGGGTCACTTGGATAAATATGTCACTTGATGAAGTAGGAGGTACCAGTGGCTCAGTGGCTGGAAAGGATTTTCTGGTTTTGTTGTGATTTCAAGAGCTTCTCCTCCGAAGTGTTGAGAGACTGTTTCCCCATGTATGCCAGCTCTCCATCAGTGTCTGTTCCCACCTTCCCCTCCTCGGGGAGGCGTGCTTTTTTGGGGTGTGAGATGTTAAACCTGAACGTTAGCGGGTTTTAGGTTGAATTCCAAGTCAGATCGTCACTTCGTACTTCAGGAGTCCCTCAAAGTCCTAGGAATTGGGGCCGTCCTCTGGTACCAAAGTAGCCATGACGTAATGGTGGGAAGGTGATAGAGATGGTGCTTGCTGCCCAGCGTCCAAGGTGGCTGTCTGGTTATTCTGTCATTGATCCCTTGCTATGTCATCGTGTGTGGAAGATGTCCTTTGCTGGTACCTGGGGGGAGGGGAGGGCAGGGGGGAACATGGCAGCACTTTACTTTTTCTAGGCAGGGACTCTTTCAACATTAAGAAATAGCCAAGAACTGGCGTTTTGCTAAGGATCCAAAAGCCATAGTAAAGGGGACCGAACAATGCTGGTTTATGTGCCACCGCCTGCCCCTGTCCTCAGCCAAGGAAAAGTTAAGTGGCTTTTCTCCGAGTCCTGGGTCTAGTTGCAGACGGAGCATGCTAAGGAGGTCAGTGCGCAGCGATCTCCACGCTCGGCTTGGAAGTTGAGATACTTAGCTGCTGGCGAAACTGTTATTGTGAAGCAACAGGGGGCTGTTTTCTTTTCCTTTTTCTCCTACAAAAATGCACAAGGCAGTGGCAATGGAAATGGCTTCTGGATCTCTCGCTATTCTTAAAAACACACACAACCAGCAGCTCCCTCGGGCTCTTCGGGGCACGCCTGCCCATGCCAGTGGCTGGCCGAGGGTGGCTGGGTGAAGGCTGGTCTTGATTTTTCCTCTGTGTACCGCTGGTGTTTTTTTTTTCAAAACCTTTCCTAGGGGGCATTTCATGATTTTACAATCAGAAAATAAGATGCTAAAGGTTTTAACTCAACTTAATTGTCGGCCGCGTAGTCCTGTAATTGATGTGACTTTGAACTGATGTGATGGTTGAAAAGAAAGCCAGCCCCGCTCTTTGGACAGCCAGTGGGTCGTCATTGGCTCATCTGCACCCATAGGACGTCAGTCCAGCCCTTTGCATAGGATTTAACCTCTGTGGGATTTTTTTGTTGTGTTTGTTTTGTTTTCTCAGCATTCTGCTAGAACAGAACCCTCTGCAGAAGTGGCCTGGTAGCTTCTTCTGCTAGGTGCTTCCGTATGACTAAAGGAAAGTGTTGCATTCTCTCAAGTTCATGGTCGCCTGGGGTTGGTTTCCTCAAGCATCTTCAGAAAACACCTCCAGGAAGGCTCACTGAAGTGCAGCCCCTGGGGGTCCCTGACTGTTCTGAATTAGTCTTCTGTTTTAATTTTGTGTGTGGTGGTGGGATGCAATGGGCCCGAGCCCTAAGAGTATTCAGTGCTATTAGTTATCACTTTTGAGATCAAGGTTTTTGAATGAAATGAGAATCTTTCAAAATGCAAGTGTCGAGCCATCTTTTAACTAAAGGGCATTATGCACATATTCAATGCACGCTAATGTACTTTTAATAATATTAGCACAAATGGTTACGGAGAAGAGTCACCTTTTGCTCTCCCTGCCGAGAAATGGTTAGATCCCTTTTCAAATGTTTTGTTTCCAATGTTTTGGGTTTTTTTTAAAAAAATGAATTGAACAGGCTCATCCACCCACCCTTCGGTGTTTTGTTCCAGTGATGCTATCTGACAGTAGGTAAGTTGATGAAGACAACTGGGTTTTCCTAGAGGGTTCATGCAGTGGGTCGTTTAAACAAAAGATTAACTTGGTTGGTACCCTCCGTGAGCTGGCATGGTTGCTATGTAACGGAGTCTAGAAAGTGAACTGCCGAAAATCTGGGCTTTCGACACTTTGCAGGATCTTCTTTCGGAATCTGTGTTGAAAGAACACTTGGCAGCTGGCCCATCTTCTCTCTCCCTGCTTCCAGTGAGTTGGATAATCCCTAATGAGGATGCTGGCATCCAGTGCCAAGAGCACCGTGCAGGGCGGCGCATTGCACAGCTCCGCAGGCTGCCTCCGGGGTTGGTGGGGTCAGAACGGCCCTTGACAGGTGCACAGAAGGAGCCTTAAAAAGAACCAAGCATTGGTTCCCGTTCGTTGTGTTGTTGGTAGCCAGAGAACGAATTTGTTTAAAGTCACATTTCTAAGCTGTTTTCCTCGGCGTAACATCTCTGGGAAAATGTGTTTAAGATCCTTGCTGTTCTTTGAGGGGAAAATATCGCGGTTTGTTTCTGCGAAGATGTTTTATCTGATGAATGACTAATATTAGATTCAATTGGTTGCTTTGCCGTGCGTAGAAGGAAACAATTAAGCGCCACTGTACCCACTTCAAATAGGTGTTAACTGTATGTAACATAGAAGACTTATGCCCAATAGGATGCCATTAGTTTGGTGGTGTGTTTTTTAAGGAAAGATGTACTTACGTGCTTATGCAAGTGGAAGTACTGAGAGCATCTTTCGTGGGTGGTGAGGACTTACTGCCTATTGCATTTGTTAGGGTGGAGATGGCAAACGTGCCTATTTCCTGCACCTTTAGAAGTTTCTGGAAGTAGATGCAGGTTTAATTTTGTTCTCCCCAGACGTTAAAATCGGCTGTCACTCCAGGTCTGACTGCTCTTACTTAGCGTGACGACGACCCTGGAAACTCTCGGCCGACGGCCGCATTGAACGCGCCAGTCGTCTGCAGAGACCTCGACACTGTTCGTTGCTTTGCAAAATCCGTTTTGTCTTTTGGCACCCCCTTCCCAGTTCACCCCGCCCCTGCTCTCCGTGTTTCAGGTAGACTTTGAACTCTTCTGAGAAAGGGACTTTTCAAACGGCAGCGAGGATAGAACCAAAGGCAGTGGGACCTCGGGGGCCTTCTGCTCGCTTGGCCCAAGTTTCCAGGGCTCATCACGGAGCACGGGCCTCGGCTTCCGAGCTGTAGGGGTCGGGAGAAAGGAGGGTCTCTTCCTTCTCTGGAAGGGCTGTCACGAGATGGGGCGCCAGAACTCTTCCTGAAAATCACCACGCGTGGTCGCAGAGAGACAGATTACTTACAGATCAGCACGGCATGGCTGAAATTAGTTATTGATTGGCTGTTATTTACTGTCTTTCCATTGTCTTTGGAAAATGCCTTCAGAGGACCCCTTGAGTCAAGTTGCTGGTTCTGGTTAATTTCATGCTTTCAAATGTTCATGATTTATTGAGGTCTCTCTACACTTCTGTCACACGAGCCAGAAGTCCCAGCCAATGTGATTTTTATAACAGGAGCCTTGTCACGTGTCCGCCCTGTGGAAGGCAAGGCATGTTCTCGCCATTGCTTTACCCCCTGCTCCCCGAGACTGCTGGCACTTTGGAGGAATCCTGTAGGTTATAATTTGTGACTTCTGCCTGCCAATGAGCTCGTAGCAGATGGGCCTGGCAGGTGGGCAGTGCTCGTGGGCATGCTGCCTCCTCACGGTGCAAGTCGTATGGGGCCCAGAAGGTCGAGCCTGGGGTGTTGGCCGTATTCACTGCACATTAGATCTACGGGGCATGGGTGTGCCTCCGTTACACGGCCAGCGGAAAGGAAATCAACACAAAGCCCTCGGTTCTTTGGAGACCTCGTCCAGGATTGGTTTATCCGAGCATTAGTGGTTGGCTTCTTACCCCCTGCCATCCATCGGGCGAGAACACCGCTCGCTCTGCTGCTGGAGCCAGGGAATGGGTTTTTAAGTGATCTTGTAAATGAGCATTAGTCCGTACTCGCAGGGCGAGTGGCACACGGGACGAAGAGCCGCTCCACCAACCGCCGTCGTTGCCATTTTGTAGTGAACCGCGGGCAGCGCGGGCTCAGCGGAA